TTCCTCCACAGACAGGAGAGATGTTCTAGTTTACTGCAGTTCTACTTTAACCACTTAGTGTTCTTATTTTGGCAAATTGTAGTTCCAACACATTTAAGATATTAAAAATCATCTGAAGTGTTGCACTACCTCGGAAACTATTTTCACGCAGAAGAGGACCTACCTTGAGATGTCAATCTGACTAGGTTGATTCAGGCTCTGTTAGGAATGAAATAGGCAAGCAGGGAACAAACACTCTTCTTTGGGTTTTGCATATATATGCATACACACATATACACACACATATACCTATGTCTACATTATTTGGCCTCAGCATGGGCCGTGTGCACAGCAGGTGCTGACTTTCCGAGTCCCTGCTCCGTGTGGTGATCGCCGGTGTACTCACCTGGCCAGAGTCCCAGCCGAGGTCTCCACGCGGTGTTCACCCGGCCTGTCCCCAGGGTGAGTCTCAGGATGGTGCTGGAGGCCACCGAGCCCAGAACCTGGTGCCTGGCACGCTGACGACGCAAGCAGCAAGCAAGGAAGCCAGCAGCTTCCAGGAAGCCACAGAGAACAGCATTAGTGAAGCAAGCCTCCTAACCCTGGCCACCACTCCCAGTCCTACAAACAGCTGCTATGACAGGCAGGGCTGGGCGTATCCCCTTCTGCTTGGGGTCAATCCCCCCCCCCCCCCCCCCCGCACTGTCTTTGCATATGGATTTCCTGATGGAATATCCTGAGCACAGAGCCAAGAGTAAGCCTCAGGCACACAGCCCCCAAAGAAATTTTAAAACTGTAGGGCTTCCAGACAGTGCCCTGAGATGGGAATCTGGTGGGAATCTTGCGGGGGTCGTCACTTACCAGCAGGTAGACAAGGGGGCTCTGCCTGAGGCCAGGACCCACATTGGCCCTGTCTTCGCTCCTTCTGTGTTCCAAGATTTGTGCACGCCATGAAGACCCGGCACCTGGAACATGAAGGAAAGGGCTCAGGGGTGAGTGCAAGAGAAAGCCTCCGTTTCCTGTCTTCAGCAGCTGCATTTTAGCTATCTCCGCTCCACATACTTTTAAAAAATAATTTTCTATGAAAAACACCCTGATTTGTGAAGTTGTTCATCATACAGCTGTTCCAGCACCAGCAGAAGGACCTTCCCTTCACCGAGATCCCTAGTTTCCCTCCCCACACAGAGCTGCTGAGAGAGCCTCCCTTTCAGCTCCAGCCCCAGGGAGCAGGCTCATCCTACATTCTTGACTTCCTGCAAATTCCACACCCTTTTCTAATGAACAGGGAGTTAGCCACTGTCCACGCAAATATTCTGCCCTAGAGCATGGGCTCATGGAGGGCTGAGAAAATGGGCAATACCTAGGGCAAATAGCCAGACAGGCACCTGCCAAGAACCCAATTTCCATTTGAAAGGGTCTGCAGGAAACCCTGCTTACCTTGAAAGTCTGCAGCCCCCGTAAAACAAAGAGTGGTTTCCCTATGAACCCCCCCACCAAATAAACTACATTCCTTCCCACTTGGGGACTTTCTTTTGTCTTTCTCTGCTACTTTTTTTTCCTTTGGTACTTATGCTTTACTTTAAAATGGTTTAATTGAAATTCTGTGGCTTGCCATACTATGAATAATGTGGAGATATGCACATAATTCCAACACCACATAACTCATCACCAGTGCAATCCTTCCCTATCTCTTTTTTCTTTCCGTCCCTAGTTTCTAGTAAATGAGCCTATTAGCTAGTAGGCTAACAAACTGAGACTCTCTACTTTCCAACAATGAGTCTGAGCGTCCTCAGGACTCCCAATTTCCATTCATGAAAATACTGGAAAGCTGGGAGAGACCCTCCGTCCTGCCTCATCTGCCTCACAGCCCCCCTAGGCACAGTGAGAAATGGGGTTCCCTCTGGCTTGTGCCAACCAAACTTTAAGAACTGGCAAAAGGTTAATGCTCAGAAAATGCTAAGAGCCAGTACAATGATCACTCTACCCCGTTTTGCCATCAGAAAATTAACCCCCCGGAATAGGACAAAATAGATTCAAACGCCCCTCCTCGTTTCCATGTAGAATAAAACACAATCGACCAACCCCTCTCGTTTTCCTCTATGCCTTTTGACCTCAGGAGCCCGAAGTGCATTGCGCTTTCGGCTCTGCTTGGGACCTGCGTGGGCTAGCGCCCGGGGTGGGATGAGGGGATGTGGGGATGCTGCCGGGCGGCCTCCCCAGAGCATCCCGCCCCGCGTCCGCCCTCCTCCCGGGCTCCGAAGTCACAGGCGCGGAGCAGGACCTGGGCCCAGGGCCAAGCCGACAGCCACAGAGGCACCAGGCCAGCAGCTGGCGGGCGGGCGGTGCGAGCTCACCCTCCGGCAGGGGGCGCAGCCGCTCAGTGTTTGCCCCCGCTGCCAGGGGCAACGCGAAAGCCGGCCACAGAGAAGCACTTCCAGGGTCGCCAGGCAGCGGGAAGAACCACTTCCGGGGTGCAGCCCAGGAGCGGCGTTCGGGATCAGCCGGCTTGCCAAGGGAGGACCGAAACGTGGCCCTTCGGTTTCCGGATACACAAAAGGGCTGGGACGAGTCTAGTACAAAGCGCTGGCTGATCCTTTATCAAACACCCACGTGACAGGGGGCGTGGGCACGCTTGGTCCAGCGACCGAGCCCCCTACCACCAGGCGAGCGGGCTGGGCCGCCAGTCGCAATGACGTCACACAAACGCGACCCCAGCGACCACTCTTCCCTTCCAGGGCGGGCCGCGCAGCTTTAACTCGTCACAAAGTCTCGCAGGCGGCCTCTCCTGGCCACGCCCCCTCCGCCACACCTTTCCCCTTCTGGACCTATTGGAGGAGGCGCACGGCGCGGGGAGGCGGAGTCGGCCTGGCCCCGCCTTCCGGGTCCGGGCACTAGGCCGGCTGCAAGGCGGCGGGCGGTACGGAAGGGGTCCGCGCTCCGATTGGCCGGGCGGAGCGCGGGAGAGGCGGGCCTTGCCGGGTCCGGGGGCTGCGATAGGCGGGGCGCGCTTGAGTGGCGGCCCGGCGGCCCCGCGCTGGAAGCCAGGCCGTGTTCGTTGCGGAAAGGGACTCGGGCCCCCCAGGGGTAGGGCTTAAAGCGCGGCCCGGGTGGGCTCCGGGCGGCCGGGGGAAGGCGGGCACGGCGCCCCCAGCCCCAGGGCCCCCAGACCTGGTTCTCCTTGAACATGTCACCCCGACCCGGGAGTCAGCGACACGGCCGGGGACTTAGGGCGCACACCCCAAAGGTTCCGCCCCGAACCCAGGGGCTCCGCAGAGGCCGGCGGCCCCTGCACCCCGGGGAGCCCCAGGCACCTGCTCTGGGCGCGCGGCTACAACGGCACACTGGCACCCAGCGGAGTGTGTGTGTGTGTGTGTGTACACGTATGCACAATGGAAAGAGCTCAGAATTGTTGCAGGATGGCAGTTTGCAGGATTGCATGGTGAAGTGCCCTGGGGAGAGGGGTGTGTGTGTGTGTGTGTGTGCGCGCGTGTGTGCGTATGTGCACAATGGAAAGAGTTCAGGATTGGGGGGGTGTGTATGCATGTATGCACAATGAAAAGAGTTCGGAATGGTTGCAGGATGGCAATTGCAGAGTTGCATGGTGAAGCACCCTGCGGAGAGGTGTGCGTGTGTGTGCGCGCGCGCGTACATGTGTGCGTGCATGTGCACGTATGCACAATGGAAAGAGTTCAGGATTGTTGCAGGATGGCAGTTTGCAGGATTGTGTGGTGAAGCGCCCCAGGGAGAGGGGTGTGCACACAATGGAAAGAGTTCAGGATTGGGGGGGGGGGGGTGTATGTGTGCACGTGTGCACAATGGAAAGAGTTCAGAATGTTTGCAGGATTGCATGGTGCAGCGCCGTGGGGAGAGTATGTGCGTGTGCACGTGCATGTGCACGTATGCACAATGGAAAAAGTTCCGGATTGTTGCAACATGGTGGTTTGCAGGATTGAGTGATGCAGCACCCCAAGGAGGGGTGTGTATATGTGTGTGTGTTTGTGTGTACATGTCCACACTGGAAAGAGTTCAGGATTCGGGTGTGTGTGTGTGTGCATGTATGCACAATGGAAAGTGTTCAAGATAGTTGCAGGATGGCAGTCTGCAGGATAGCATGGTACAGAACCGCAGGGAGGGGTGTGTGTGTGTATGTGTGTGCACAATGGAAAGAGTTCAGGAATGGTGTGTGTGTGTGTATGTGTGTGTGTGTGTGTACAATGGAAAGGGTTCAGGATTGTCCCAGGATGGCAGTTTGCAGGATTGCATGGTGAAGTGCCCTGGAAACAGTGTGTGTGTGTGTGTGTGTGTGTGTGTGTGTGCGCATGTAAACACAATGGAAAGAGTTCAGGATTGCTGCAGATGGGCAGTTTGCAGGGTTGCATGGTGAAGCACCGCTGGGAGAGGGTTATATCGATTATGTAGATACAGCCTCACCCTGGCCAGGCCTGGGGGTTAGGGGCCGCTGTTTTAAATCTGCTAAAGCATCACGTTGCTATCGAGACAGTAACATTGAGCTTTAGGACTGTGGCCCCCACCGACCCCTGTGCTGTTGGCAAACTGGGATGCATTCCATTGGGATCCTCGGGAATTCGGATCTCTGCAGATGTTACATTTTTTAGCATCTGGAATTCTGATCTCAGCAGATGTTATTTTTCTCTACTCTCTCTCCAACCCCCCCCCCCCAAAGTTCCATAAAAATCTAGGGAAAATAATAAAATCAGAACAGGGAGGGGGGGAAAATATCTTGGGCCTTATCCGTGTTTCTGGTCAAGGAATAAAGAATACAAAAATTAGCACCAATATAGCCATAGCAGATGCATCCTCAGGGGTCAGTTATGGGTCTGTTGTAGCTTTGTGTCTCTCCTGACACTACTGGGTCCAGGTGAGAGAGGAGAAAGAAAATGTTCCCTGCAAAGGTGTGTGTGTGTGTGTGTGTGTGGAGGGGGCAGGGAGTTGGCAGCTGGGGGCTTCCCAGAGAGTCTTAGTTATTAATTGGGTAGCCTGGGGATGACATTCCCCTGGGTATGACAGCTTGTAGCAAAAGATCCCAGTTTCACAGTGGGGTCCTGGGCATCTACCACTTGGGGGCAGCGTCTGCCCTTTGCAAGCACGGCAGGAAGCTGCTGAAGGACGTGAAGGCCTTTGCAGGCGCCTCTGCGGGCTCCTTGGTGGCCAAGGTCCTGCTGACAGCACCGCAGAAATTGGAGGTAATTCAGTGAGAACGAAGGCCGCTCCTGGCCTGGCCATTCAGAAGGGAGGACAGAAACCTCCTCTTGCAGGAAAACCGGCCAGCAAACCTCCCCCCCCACCCCACCCCCCACCCCCGGGCTGGGCATCAGGCTCAGCCGCAGAGTGTTTGGATTACATGCAGACGCTCCGGATTCAGTTCCTGCCCACAGCCCCCCCCACACACACACACAGAAACACAAAGATACACATAGGCACACACACATAGACATACACACAGACACACACATAGAAGTGCACAGAGTTACAGACACACATAGAAATACACAGAGACATCTACACAGACTCGCACACAGACACATATGTAGAAATACACAGTCACACACTAATACAGAGACACACAGATGTACACCCAGAGACAGACACAGCATATAGAAATGCACAGACACATACACAGACAATACAGCGACACATACTTAGAAATACACAGAGGCACATACACAGATTCACACAGACACATAGAAATACACACACACACATCGTCCCCATCCCTTATCAGGGTGGCGAGGATGAGGGAGAAAGCAGAAGAAAGTTCTAGATTAGACATGAGATGTTTCCCAGGTTCCCCACGTGTGAGCCAGCCAGGGCCAGGACAGTTTCAGAACCCAGGGGGTGAGGGGTAGAGACTGGAAGTCAGAGAAGCCTTCTTGCCTGGGTCCAGAGTGGGGTGGCAGAGAGTCAGAAGTTGGGGCTCCAGCCAGATGGGGGTGGGGGCAGAGTGCAGGTGCTTTTCACAGAGAACACGACTGCGTCCAGAATCCAACGCATCCGTCTGGACACCCCCGCCCCGCGGGCAGTCACTCTTCATGGGTCCCTCTCAGGAATGTAAAGCATTCACCTACACGTTTGCTGAAGAAATCCACGGGCAGTTCTTTGGGGCCATGACGCCCTGCTACGACTTCATGGCCCGACTCAGGTCAGTGGCCCCCACAGCCAGCCCCGCCCCGCCCCCTCCAGCCCACTTTCTGCCAAGGCCCTGCCTCAGGCCTGCGGGCATGCGGGGGGGCTCACGCAGCACCCATTTGTGCCCTGCAGGTGTGGGATGGAGTCCATCCTCCCCGCCAATGCCCACCAGCTGGCCCACCGCCGACTTCATGTGTCCATCACTAACACCAGGACCAGGCAGAACTACTTGGTGTTCAGCTTCAGCTCCTGGGAGGACCTCATCAAGGTACGGTGGTGCCCGCACTGGCTCCTGACACCTCTGCCCGGCGCTCGGCCACCCTCCCTGTGCCCTGGCCTCACTCGGGTCCTGTTGGCTCACTGTCCCCACGTGTGTGGGACACACCGTCCTGCTATAGCTCACTGGCCCCATGTGCATGGGACACACCGTCGTGCTATAGCTCACTGTCCCCCCATGTGTGGTACACACTGTCCTGCTATAGTTTACTGTCCCCACGTGTGTGTATACGCCATCCTGCTATAGCTCACTGTCCCCATGTGCGTGGTACACACAGTCCACATACGCACGGAGACATGCAGGCAAGGGCACGCACGGAGAGTTTGTCTGGGAAGAGCTGCGGGGGATAGGCCGAGATGATTGGGTACAGCAGACGCTTGGATGTGGCACTTGGATGTCACCTGCAGCTGCCCCTGTGCACGAAGGCTATGACCACAGCTTCCCGAGGAAACGGACCCCCAGGAGAAATAAGTCCATGGCTTCCTAGGTTCCAGCATCACTCGGCGCCCCTCAGGCCCAGGCTCCTTCTACTCTGGCACCCCGCCTTAGAGAAAAACGTTTCCCCATCCTCTTCTTACCGTCAGCCGTGGACTAGCAAACTGCAAAGGGAGAAGCTGCCCAGCCATGCCCGATTCGTCCCTGCAGAGCAGAACTCAGAATGGGGGATGAGCCCCCGGAGGGACGGTCAGTGTGGCTCCTCTGAGCTCGGGGACAGCCGCTGAATTTCCTGGGGTCCAGGGGATGCCCATGGGTGGCTGGGAGCATGTCCAGCTGCTGGAGTGGCCTGCGCAGTCTCTCCATCCCAGGCAGAGCTCAGGCCTTTTGGCCACCACACCCCGCATTTCCTGGCCCCCACCAGAAGCTCTTCGCTGCACCTGTGGCTCATTGTGCCAGCGAAGGGTTACACACAGCCAGTGTGCGTCAGCCACGGCCGTCTTGGGACCCCGGGGAGATGTTCCAATGTGCTGCCAACTTGGCTCAAGAGGTGCCAGGGGCTCCAGATCTACCAGCCCGCATGAGATGAACAGGGCCCGGAGTGATGGTCCAGCGGGGAGGGCCTGTGCCTTGCACGAGGCACCCGGGTTCTATTCCCAGGGCCCCATAGTGTACCCGAAGCCCACCGGGAGTCATTCCCGAGTGCCTCTTCGGGCAGGTGACATTGCAGTGCTCGCTTTTAGTCCAGTTCCTTTTGCCTCCATGTGGCACGCCACCTTCCTGCTCCCAAGTGCCAGCTCCCACTGGCTGGCCTGAGGTCAGAGAGCAAGGGCGTGTGCGGGCCCCGAGGCTCACCCGCCGTCTCTTCTCCGCCCACCTAGGTGCTGCTGGCTAGCAGCTTTGTGCCCATCTACACTGGGCTGACACTGGTTAAGTACAAAGGGCAGGTAGGTGCTTCCCTGGCAAGGACTGGGAGGTCCCGACAGTTCGTGGCCTTGGGAAGTCATGCACGAGAAGTATTTGCACAAGAAGTCAGCCAGCGGTATGCGGTTTCCTCCAGGAATAGTGTGGTTTTTGTTTGATCACTTGATCACTTGACTTCCCGTTAATCATCGATTTGCTCGAGCGGGCACCAGTGACATCTCCATTTGTCCCTGTCGCGTGCTACTGTAGCCCAATGGTGTCTGTTCATTCTAGGAACACGAAGAGCCTCAAACAGATCGTTCAGGATCTTGATGAAGAAGTCTGACCATCTGGTAGGTGGGCAGCCATGTGGTCTTTTGACTAATGGCTCTAGTCCAGCAGTCATCTCCAAATCTCCTTACGTGTCCAGCCCATCTGATTTTTGACGCCTTGGCAAATGAGACAGCGTCCCTGATTCCTGATTGTCGACTGAGGTCAGAACTCTGGATTCTTTCCCTCATTTGAGTGAAATGTGATACTCCATGCATAGCTCTTTCGATTCCTCTTTGGGAGACCCGAAGAGCGTTCTCATCCTGTTTGCATAGGGCCCAGGTCTCTGAGGCGTATGTTAATGCAGGAAGAACAGTGGAATCAAAGAGATGTGCCCGGAGCCGGAGGTTCTTTGTCCTCTTAGCTATTTCTTTGATGCTTTTGAAGGCGTTCCAAGTCGCTCTCTTCCTCCTGCGCAACTCAGGTGCCAGGTCATTTGGCATGTTGACTTCTTCACCTAGGTACACGTAACTGTTGCATTCAGAGATGGACGTTCTATTGAGAGTGAATGGAGTGTCAGGAACGAGGATGTTTCTCATAAACATTGTCTTTGTAAGATTCAGCTATAGTCCGACCTTTCTACACTACGGTACAAGTCCTCCTCTACCTCCACTACCCAGCCGCCACCACGCTCCAGGATGCTTTCTGGACCGCGCAGCCGCGAAGCGGCCATGTGACACATTATAAGACACTTAATATCCATCTTCCAGAATTGCCGTACCATATTTGATAGGGTTCAATTATGGTTTGAACCATGGGAACACCTAAAAGGGTGATAAGAGGCCACCCCCAAAGCCTCTATCCCTCTCGGAGAGCCTGGCAAGTTACCGAGAGTGTTCCGCCCGCACGGCAGAGCCTCGCAAGCTATCCGTTGTATATTTGATATGCCAATACCAGTAATTACAATGGGATTCATTCCCCTGACCCTGAAGGCATCACCAATATGGCAGTCTTGAGAAGGTTGAAGAAGGAAAGGCTGATAAAATCTCAAGGCCAAACTAGGCTGCCAAAACGAAGGAAGACAAAAATGATTGTCTGTACTTTCAATGCACGTATGCTAGCATCAGATGCATCCATTGAGGACCTGATGGTAAAAGCGCAAAAGATCAAGTACGACAACATTGGTCTGACTGAGACAAGAAGGCATCAATCACATCACGCCATTTTCGACACTGGAGAAGAATTATTCCTCAGAACTTGTGATAAAAGAGGCGTTAGAGGCGTTGATGTCCTTGGCAACAAGAACTTGGCCATAAGCATTGATTCATTCAAATGCCTAACAACCCGAATCGGACATTTACACTTGAATAGATGTGGCTCACTGCTGGCAGTTTCTATCTTCATTATCTATGCACCAACATCCAATTATGATGAAGGAGAAAATGAGAAGTTCTACATGGAGCTGGAGAAGTTCTATAAAGAAGACCACACCTTCTACAAGATCACTGTCGGTGATTTTAATGCCAAGATAGGACTGAGAAGATCAGCCAAAGAACTCCACATCGGGACCCATGGCCTAGAATGGAACGAACAGGGTGAGAGACTGTCTGAGTTCATCATGTCAACCAAGACCATCCATGGTAACTCACAGTTCCAGAAGGCCGAATCTAAACGTTGGACATGGGAGTCTCCCAGTGGACGGTTCCACAACGAAATAGACCACATCATATTCAATCAACGGTTTTCCCTGACTGATGTTGCTGTTGTCCCAAAATTCCAAATAGGATTGGACCACCATCTCCTTCATGCAAAATTCTACTTTACAGAGCGGGGGAAAGGGCTAAAAATGTTTAAGAAGAGAACACCCAGAACGACCACCAACTAGAAGGAAGCTCTTTGGCACTAATTCTGCCACATGGGAAGATGCCATTGTTGAACAAAATTGACAAGGAATAAGATCAACTGGTTCAGCGCCTCCATGATTGTGCGAGGAATGCCAAGAGACAGATAGCCACAAAAAGATGACTGTCTTCGAAAACTCTTGAACTTATTCACCAATGTGTTTTGGCGCATGCCTCAAGCAACCGCAAGCGAATGTCTGAGCTCGCAAAGCAGTGCAGAGATGCGATCAAGGAAGACCTCAAAGAGAGAGCAGAAGTACTGGTAGATGCGGCAGAAGCCAGGAAAAGCATTTGTAACACCCGCCTGTCCTTTGCCAACTACAAGATCAAGATGACTACCTTACGACGTCTTGATGGATCTATCACATCTTCCAGAAGGCAATGGAGAAGATTATCCATGACTTCTACTCAGATCTCTTCGATAGCCATGTCCACCTGCCCACATACCAAATTCCACAGGATGGATATGTCATTCCCAATATTTTCCCTTCCGAAATCTGACACGCCATTTCGTCGGTAAAGAAACGAACAGCACCCGGCCCAGACAAGGTCAGACCTGAACACCTGAAGAACTTGCCGTCAGAACTCATCAATACGCTGGCTTGGCTCTTTACACGCTACCTGTCTGAATGCAAGTTTCCGTCCCAATGAAAAACCAGCAGGACTGTACTACTGTACAAGAAGGGAGACATCTATGACATTGGCAACTATCACCCGATCTGCCTATTTTCCATCATCTACAAGCTGTTCACTCGAGTCATCCTGAATAGGATTGGCAGAACACTAGATGAAGGACAACCATGCGAGCAAGCTGGGTTCCGCAAAGGATACAGTACCATTGACCATATCTACACATTAACCAAGCTCATTGAGGTTTCTCGGGAGTTCAAGATGCCGCTCTGTCTAATGTTCATTGATTTAAAGAAGGCCTTTGATTCTGTTGAGATGGAAGCAGTCATTGAAGCCCTATTCAATCAGGGCATTCAAACTCAATACATCAGGATCCTCCGTGAGCTGTATTACAGATTCACTACCAGGATCTCAAAGAAGTAATCATCGATGTCAAGAGAAGGGTTTGGCAGGGTGGCACCATTTCACCAAAACTCTTCAGTCCCACCCTCGAGAACATCATACGACAACTGGAATGTATTTCATTGTGTCTATAGATCATGGAACTTCTTTATCCGTTCCTCTGTGCGTTGGGAAGACAATTCCCCAAAGAAGGCATACAGGTGGCCAACAGGCACATGCTTGCGTACTGGGGAGTTCTGGGACACAGCACCAGAATCGCGTTTCTGATGTAGTCGGACCCAGTCTTTCTGCCTACAGGATCCAGAGCTTTCCCCTCTCATGACGAGAATGAGCTATCACAGCATGACTGAAGCCAAGACACGATCTTTCCTTCTACGTCACATCCCATCCGATCTGCTATGCCCTTACTGATTTTCTTCCCATCATTTCACTTGTTACTTCTTCAAGTTTTGTTGGAACAAGCAATATAAAGTCAATTTGGTATGTGCTCGCGGGGAGAGCTTGGGACCGGGAGGCAAAGTGGGATTATTGATGGAAGGAAGGTCACACTGGTGGGGTTGGAACACCAAATGCTGGAAACAATTGTACAATGAGCAACTTTATAAATCACAATGTTTTTAATGAAAATCAATAATAATAATAAAAGACACATTCTTTCTTACTCTCTGAGCTGTTGCATGGGGACAAGGTGTTATCCCATGATTTACAGAGGACAGACAGGGACATTCTGCCCCCAGAACCACGGTGCTATGATTACTTGTGACCGAGTGGAGACATTACTAGTGCCCACTCGAGCAAATCCATGAACAAGTGACAAGTGAATCCCCTCCCTAAAGAAGGGGATTACAATTTTTTTTTAAAATCCCAATGTTTGGATAGCCCGTGTTCTCTCTTGAGTATGTTTCTCTCTCTCTCTCTCTCTCTCTCTCTCTCTCTCTCTCTCTCTCTCTCTCCCCTTCTTCCTCCGTTCTTTTCCCTCCGTCCTCTCTGCTTCTCTCCCTCCTCCCCCTCTCTGTTTCTCTGTGTCTCTCTCTTCTTCCCCTCTCTGTCTCCTTCTTCATTCCCCTCTCTGCCTCTCCCTCCCTCTCGTTCTGTCTCTTTCTCCCTCTCCTTCCCCTCTATCTCCTCCCTCGCCCCTCTCTCTCAGTCTCTTTCTGTCTCTCTTTCCCTGCTTCATCCTCCCCCCTCTATCTGTCTCTCTGTCTCTCTCTATCTCTCTCTCCCTCTTTCTCTCTTCCCTCCCTCCCCTTCCTTAAAACCTCCCAACACCATCTATTTTTTCGCTTGACTGCTGTGTCCTTCTGGAATCCCTTAGAGCAGAGAGGCCTGGGGGAGCTTGAGGACTTACTTCCTTTGCTGTAGAGCTGTGGCTGGCTGCAGCCTGAGCCCGTGGCCCCCGAGAAATTGGGTGCTGGGAGTAACTCCCATGCAGCAACCAACAAGGAGATGTCAGGTGTAGTCAGTGTCTGCCTAGCGGGGCTGGCAGGACGTAAGGTGAGTGCCATGCAGGGGCTCATCGCAGACGTCACCAGTTGGAGTCTTCCCAGCTGGTCCCAGGGTGGCAGAGGCTAATGGGGAGAAAGTGGCAGGTCCCCTTCTCAAGGCTGTCGTCTGTCTTCTCCAATGGATATAAGTCACCTGGGCACCCCATTGGCATCATAATCATGGGATTCTGCATCCAGCTGGGTGGACACTGGCCTGGAGAGTGTGCACTCTGGCCAGCTGATACTTCGGCCAACCTCAAAGTCCACAGGAAGTTGCTGGGCCACAAACAAAGGATCTTGCTGAGCAGAGAAGATTCCAGCAAACTTGAGCAACGTCGTGCGAGATCAAAAGCTCCT